ATCTACACATCAACATGACATTCATCGCACATCAGTAGCGACTCAAGGTGGAAGCGTATAACAAGGAAATGGAGTGAAGAAAGGATAGAATCAAATATATGTAGAAGAAGAAAAGATTTGAGATCTTACTTCAAAAACCTCATCGGAATTCTTCATCATGTCAATGCGAACAGAGGAAGATCTGTGGCCAGAGATTGTCATGGAAACCGAGTTCATAAAGTGGAGAGACTGAAGCATTAAAAATCGAACAAAGACAGACGGATTGCAACATGGAAAGTGTCATTGTGCTAAAGAAGAAGAAGAAACGCGTTCACGAAGAAGAGGAACAAGCACACTTTAAACCCTATTTCTTTGGGACCAAACACACCGTTTTGCTCTGATTCCCTTCCTTTTTCTTAATTTTTTCTTTCTAGTTATTATGGATAATTACTGATTTTGTTGAATAAATTGGAAAACTAGATTGAAAAATCAACAAAAATAGGGGAGTGGATATGTGTGTCACGTTTTGGCCTGGCAGTTGGGCTCAACTTTGCTACTACACCAACGGATTCAAACATTACACCTCCCTTGTGTAGTTTTTTTTAGTTTTTCTTTATCTTTTATTTTCATGATTGTAGATAATAATTGTTGTTAATAGAGATTAGTAAAAATAGGATTAATAAAAACAATAAAAAAATTATTAATTGTTTCTTAGGAATATAATAGAATTTTTCTAAGATTTTTTTTTAGAATTTTGGTTAGAACTTTCTATTATTGTTTGTGTTCGGTAATCATTTTGTTGTCGAGATTTTATGATTCACTTTTGCTTGTCTAGATTTGAGTCTTATGTAGGTTTAGTGTGTGATATGCAGACATACTTGAATTTACTAATTGTGATTTATTTTCACATCGATGATGCTTCGACATCCATTTTGAATATTCGACCCCTGACTGTTTGCTTGTTGATGCCAGCTCGCGCTAAGTATTTAGGGTTTCTTCGCTTTGTGTTGTACTCCGAAATTTTACCTCTCATTTATCAAGAAATCTCTTATAAGATCTCCATTTGATTCAAGACTACACAAGGTTTGATCAACTCAAGACACCTCCTCAACCACTGACAATTGAAAATTAGGGTTTGAATTTTCATAAGGACAATTGGACTTTCAAGGCCCCAAATGACTTTCATGGATCATTAGGAACCCTCAAGATTGCTCATGTCAAGTTTCAATCTTTGGATCACATTTTTGCTCAATCAGTTGATCATATGACCTAAAATCAACTGTATTGGATAAAAAGTTAATTGTGGTCAACCTACAGTGAAATTACATAATTTTTGATCCATATCAACATGGTGAACTCATATATGTCAATTGATCAAGTGTGGATCACAATTCCTCAAGAAATTTGATCAGATCATCAAAAGGTCAAAATGGTCAAAATTAGGGTTTTGACCGAGGAGGTTCAATTTTTGACTTTTGACCTAACAAATGACTTATTGGTTTAAGACATGATCTCAAGGATTAAAATTCATCATCTTTACCTAATTTCATAGTTCAAATCACCTCTCAAGATCATTGGATTGACAAATAAATTTCAGTCAACTAATGAAAAATCAATTGTACACTGAAAAGTCAAACTTTGACTTTTTGATCAAAATCAAGTCTCAAAGATTACAATTCATCAAGACATGTCAAAATATGAAACTTGTTCATCAAGAAATTGAAAAGTCAAAAATTCATTTTTGAAAAGTCAAAATTCTAAGTGTTGGAAAATTAACTTTTTTTCACAACTTTGTGCCAAATTTTCACCATGATGCAAGATGATTCAAGGGAAACTTCCAATATGAAAGTTGTATATCTCAAGGAGATCTAAAACATTGTAGGGCAGAACTTTTCCTAGAAATGCTTGGATTTCAAGTTATGAATTTGTGAAGACATGTCCATGAAACTAAAAAGACTTTGAAATTTTGCCCTAATTAGGCAGGATTTTGACCTAACTTCATGGCAACTTTTCACCTATTTCCAAATTGAATCTTCAAAAACGTCCAACATGAAGGTTGTAGAGGATGTTACAAGATTTCCAAAATGTCCAAGAAGTTTAAGAGATCATTTTTGAGCTAGGAGATTCGAAGACTTGAAGTTGGCATGATGAACTTGAATTACAAGTCAATTTTGTGATGAACACTTGACCAAATCCACAAGCCATGCTGTATAATCTTGCTTTGAAGGTGTCTAACTTGCAAATCACTTCTTAATTTAATATTTACACAACTGATTGATCAATTGTTCAATTTATTCAAGCATTGTCCAAAGCATTTTGCCATTTTAGGGAGAAAGACACCATTTCCATTCTAGTAAAGCAAGTCTTTATGCAAAGTCAACTTCTTGAGCTCCCAACTTATTTCATTTGAGTACAAGCAATTCCAAAGATAAAAGCAACATGTCTAGAGCCTCAAATAAACTGATACCATGCTTGTACTATGCCTTGAAACCATATTTTTCACTTTTCTTCAAAATTAAGTAACATAGCCATAACTCTATATCTCACACATCTGTCAACTTCAAACCCTAAGACCTGTTGTTTATAATTATACAAGTTATTTTCAAGAAAACACACGATGTGAAGCACCCTTAAAACCTCCCAAGCACCTTGCTGCATAGAATTGGCCATAACTTGACAGTTTTGAACTTAAAACCCCCAAATCAAAAACCACTCGTGCGTTTTAAAATCTAATCATCCATACACTCTCTATACATCATATCAAAGCTATCTCAGTACCTGTTACACTCCTGTAACTCCATTTTCATCATTCACCATTTTCAAACATCAACCTTGCAGGTTGACTTGAGTAGGGAGACTCAGGTACTTTCAAAGCAAAGTAAAGTTTGCAACACCCTCAGGGAGGTCCAGGCAAGCTAAACAGATCATTGGAAAACCTCAAAGCTTGCTCAAACTGAAAACACGACATCCATCTGCAAGGTGAGTTTTTTGAATTTATATCTCTTCATACAAGTATCATTTGATTCTGATTTGTGAAGATAAAATGTAGATATCATTACCCTGAAGCTGTACATGTCCATAGTTTTCATTTATATTGCCTGAGCTTAGAGAACTGTAGGTTTGAATCTCTGGAAAAAAAATTAGGTCAAAATTTGGTACTTTTAGAAATTCATGCTCATCTTCGAGAATTAGTTTAAGTTATTTACATATTCAGAATCCAGGTAAAATTTCTAACAAGTTTGATGTTGGAAGTTTTGAGAATGGATGAGAAATGAGTGAGTTATTGGGATCCTGGCTAGAGGTTGAAGATGAAGTTCATTTCTAGAACTTGTTTTGTATTATATATTTATGGTTTCAGTTTAGTTAACAGATGTATAGCCACATCAGTGGTAAAGGCAACGCGCGTTTATGGTCAAGGTCATGGGTTCAAGTCACAGCGCTGCCTTTTTTCATATTTCTCAAACTTTTTTTTTCTTTTTTGCTACCAACTATGCACACTTGGGCCTAAGGCCATTGGACTTTGTCTTTTTACTGAAACTCATCCCCCTGCCTGCTTGTTACAACACAACTCATTATTTCTTTTCTGATTTCCAAACAAAAACATTAATGGGCCAGGCTTCAAACAAAACTATTTTTTTTCTAACATACATCCTAAATACCATTTTCACCCCTTGACTTTTCTTTTTTATTTTTTATTTTATTTTTTATTTTTCTTTATTATTATTATTATTATTATTATTACTATTTTTATTAATAAAAATCCAAAAAATAGTTTATTTATTTATATATCTAATATATTTATATTCATTTATATTTTATTCCTTTAAAAACAAAAAGACAAAAATATTTTCTTAAACAAACTTAATTTCTTTTTCTCAATAAATTAATAATTAGATTTAGGTTTAGTTATTTTCTTTTTTAATTAAAATTAACTTAGAATTTAGGTTTCTTTTAATTAATTAATTTCCATACTATTTTGATTAAACTTAAAACCTTTTCTAAAAAACCCTAAAAAATGCTTTCTAACTTAATTTCTTTTCTTAATTAGTTTAGGTTTAATTTAATTAATCATTTTCTCTTAGATAATTAGGTTAAAGTCCTTACCTCAAAAACCAAACAAAAATCCTTTTCTTTTCCATTTATATTCTTGTACATTATATTTATTCATTTCTTGCACATTATTCAATTCAATATGGTTGTAATAGATAATTAAGTTTAATTTCTTGCAATCCCCATTTGTAAATTTGTATACCCCATCCCCAAATGATGTAATAGTGTAGTAAATTTACTTTCCGCAATTTATCGCTTTCATATAAATGCTAGTAATTAGGGTTTGTATGGAAAGTTAAAAATCAACAAGTAGATAACCCTAACTCAAGATAAACAATGCATGCAAATCAAACACACTATTCACACATGCACCTTTAGGGTAATTATCCATTTCCATTAACTCAAACATAACAGGAGCTAGGAGAAGCTTCTTTAGGAACACCATTTCATGGTCAACTAATTGCAAGTTAAAAATGTTTTCCATGAAATCTTATTAGAAGGAACTGTGAAACTAAAAAAATAAGCCATTGGTTCAGTAATTAACGGCAATGTGCAAAACAACTCAGTAAGAGATGTCTAATTAATATGACATTACCAGCCACAAATCATTTCAAATATTTCTCCACAGGTAGCATATTATGGTACATCCTACAATATTCAATTTATTTACCTCCTTAGAAGGTTTCAATGAACAATAGTTAAAGGACTAAATCTTTCCTAACACTTCAATGTCAAGTACTAAGAAATAGTAATCCAGAAGAATCAACATATATTCATACAAAAATGTTCCCGGTCCAGGGAGTACCTGATATGGTATACAAATAAGTCTTTAGATGTCCAAGTTGATCAATCTGAAATTGCTTGTGATAAGAGGTTCCAGCAGAAAGCATTTCCATAAATTAATGTCCAAATACCAGTAAAGTGAAGCACTTTTCTACAATCAAACATTTTACAAATGTAACTTATCATGATCATGATTCTTCTATGCCTCTTGCCTTCTTATCTCCCAGCTTCATCATTGCATGATATAACTTCAAAAGATGGGAACTTTCCTCCTCTTTAAAACACAACACATACCTTTCCAAAAACAATTTCTCAGACGCATAAAAAGGAGAAAGCAAGCTAGCCTTTTCACTTCTCATGCCCTTAGCTATAAGATGAAAAATAACCATAGCTCTTGGAATGATCCTTTTCTCCAAACAATAACAAAACATCCCTGGTCCCTTGACTAGGTGAGAAGAATCCCAACCCATCTCATTAACCCAAAAACTCATCACCTTATTGATTTTGTCGTTCGACACTAACATACATTTCGGCTGCCTCATAATAGCTTCCAAAACAGTTTCCTCAGACCAACCCCAACTCTTAAAGATATCAATTCTGTCATTCCATTTGGATTTACTTAAACCTATTTTTCCGAGCAACGCATCACCGAAATACGATTTAGATGGATCAAATCCCATGTTTTTCAATTCCTTCACCGTCTCTTCTACCTCTCTACGTCTCCAAAAGATAACATTAGGCCTAGTACGAAGAATCCTATAAATGCTAGAATAGCAAACGCCATTCTCAACCATCATATTGATATTAGGAGCAAGATAATCACTACAAAGCAAAGAAGGACATGAAACTATGGAAGCAATAGTCTTTTCATCAGATTGAAGATATTGAGTTACCAAATTATATATAGGGATGACACGATTATTCAAGCTGGATTTCATGAATCTAGGGTTACCTACGACGATGCGAACGATATCAGAGGTAGAAGCGCCTTTGGAGAGTAAAAATTGAAACTTTGGGAGAACCCTTTTCTGGGTGTCGCAGGAAAGGAGCCAGGGTTCTCTTTGGATGATTTTGTGTATATCTGAATCGGTGAAACCGTGGGTTCTGAAGAAGTTGAGAACTGAATCGGGTTTTTTAGAGGTTTTGAAATGGACGAGTTTGGAGGCTTTGAGAGCGGATTCTGATGAGAATTTGAGATTGTTGATGAAGTAGGAGACTGCGAATGAGGGTGTAGAGGTGGTGGTGGTGAGGAATTTGTGAGAAAATGGGAAATGCAAGTTGCAGAGTATTCTTGAGATTGTTGATATGGCGGAATCATTGGGGTGTAGCAATGCTTTGAACATGGTTACAGGATTAATCAATGGATTGTGATGAAATGTAGGGTTCTTGTGGAAGAAAGGGATTCAACTCAATTCAACTGTGTTCGCGATGCTTAGTGAGACTGTGTGTGAAGACTAAAAAATCGCCGTTACAAGAGAATTTTGTAATATGTAGGTTCTTTTTGGAGAGTGAAGATAACCCGAGCAAATATATTTTAATCTTTTAGAATTTTAAACGTAGTTTTTAAAATAACTAAGGGATACCCACACATGTAGGATCTATAGTCTAGTTTATTTGAAATCAAATCAGAACAAATTTATTTATTAAAAATATTAGATTTAATTCTTTTAAAATATATTTAATTAAATATATCAGATTTAAACTATTAAAAAAATCTATAAAATTATATAAGAGACCTATATTTTTATATATATTAAAAAAATAATTTAGATACTAATTTAGATACTAATCTATCTATCTATATATATATATATATATATATATATATATATATATATATATATATATATATATATATATATATATATATATATATATATATATATATATATATATATATATATATATGTCGACTTATAAGTCTTCTTAAATAATATGAGTTTATTGAAAACATTAATGCGAAACATGCTTTTAAATAAGTTTTCAGATAAGGTCAAACTTTTAAAAGGATCAGACCTAACAAAATAATGAGCCTATAGTAGGCCATAGATCAAGCTCAAGCCTCGTAAGTTTATCGTAGGCCAGATCCAGGTCTTATAAAGCTTAGCCTAACCTATTTTCACTTCTACACACGGATATTGGTGTGGTATGCGCGTTTTTGTTTTCAAAATATAATAAAAATGTAATTAAGAAAAACAAAATTGTTTTACCAAATTAAATTATTATTTCTAAAATAAAAATATATTTTGAAAATAAAAATAAAATTGTTTTATCAAAATAGTTTTATATCAATAATATATATTTCAATTTTTCATATATTATTTTAAAAAGTATTGTATCTTAAATTAAAAGAGATAATAAATCGTTTTAAAAGAGATACTAAATCGATTTTATAAAATTGTCTAACCAAAATAGTTTATTATTTTTAAAATAGATAATAAATTGGTTTCCATTATTTCTTCCACATGCAAAAATATTTAAATCAACAGTATACTTATTCATATATATATATATATATATATATATATATATATATATATATATATATATATATATATATATATATATATATATATATATATATATATATATATATATATATATATATATATATATATATATATATATATATATATATATATATATATATATATATATATATATATATATATATATATATATATATATATATATATATATATATATTTGAAATTATTTATAAAAATATTTAAATTAATAGTAAATTTGTTCTCGTTATTATTTAATTTAAATCAATAGTTTAATATCAAAAAGATATGCGTGTATCATATTAGTACATGTGTGTTCGCACGGGTACTGATATGGTATGCACGTTTTTGTTGTCAAAATGTGATAAAAATATAAAAACAAAAACAAAATTATTATATCAAAATAGTTTATTATTTAAAAATATATATATATATTTAAAAGAAAAACAAAATTGTTTTACCAAAATTATTTTTACATCACTAATATATGCTTCAATTTTTCATATATTATCTTAAAAAATATTATATTTTAAATTAAAAATAATTTTAAAATAAAAATATTAATATTTTTAATTATAAAAATATTTAAATCAATAATACATCAGTTTCTATTATTATTCAATATGCATCTCGCCACATCTAATATGGTTATGTTTCTTTTTTCTACAATTTCATTATGTTGAGGTGTATAAGGAGCAGTTACCTCATGATCGACACCATGTTCTGCATAAAAATCTTCAAACATCTTGGATGTCTATTCGCCACCTCCATTTGTTTGTAAAATTTGGATCTTCTTCTCACTCTGGTTTTCGACAAGTATCTTGAATATCTTAAAGATTTCAAATACTTCGTCCTTTCTTTTGATCACATAGATCCACAACTTTCGACTAAACTCATCGACAAACGAAACAAAATACTTGTATTCCATCAATGGTATGCTCTTCAAACGGGCCACGTACATTTGAATGTACCACTTCGAGTATGCAGGATGATCTCATTGGTATAGTCGAAACGAAAGAATTTTTGGATTGTTTTCCGACTAACAACCTTCACAGAGTTTGTCAGGCATCTCAAGACTTGGGATACCAGTTGTCATATCTTGAGTAATCAGCTGATTGAGTGATCGAAAGTTCAAATATCCAAACCTCAAATTCCACAACTAACTATTCTTGTGATCAACAACAATTTTTAGACATTGTACTTCAGTCGAACTCATCATAGTCTTAAATGTCTTGTTCTTTGACATCGGAGATTTCAATCAGTTGACCAACACTTAGCAAGCTACACTTCATTTCAGGTACATAGAGTACATATTTGATCATAGCTTTCCCTCCATTACTTATTTGAAAAACTATGATATCAGTACCTTCTGCTTGCAACGAACTATTATCAATAAGTTTTACCATGCTCTTCTTCAATTCGTTGAAATCTACTAAACACTCCTTTTGACCAATCATGTGGTTCAAACAACCAGAGTCGAGAAACCAGATCTTAGATTCGACATGGTTATCTACAACTGCATCCATAACCACCATACCACCTTCAGAATCATCTGAATCTTAGCGTGCGAGGTTCGCTCCATCGCCATTTCCTGTTGATCCCTTGTTTTTCCTGTACCAATAGTTCTTGGCGAAGTGCCCCCACTTTTCATAGCTATAACACTACACACCTTTTTTATCTTCTTTGCCCTTTCGGTAGTTTCCTCCTCCTCTTTTTGAGGATTCAAAAGCTCTATTTTTAACCTGATGCTTGTGAGAGTTCGACCAAGACTTCTTTCCCTGAGTCTTGTTAACTTTGCCTTTGAATTTATTGGAATCACCATTCATTTTCCATGACTGAACTTGTAGAGCTAGTATCGAGTCTTGAACTTCTTTCCTTTCGATAATCCTAATCTCAAGCGCTTCCAACGAACCAACCAAATTTTCTAGTTTTAGGGTTTCAAGTTGATTGGATTCTTGAATAGCTACGATAACGTGATCAAAGTGAGAGGTCAATATTCACATTACTTTCTCAACTATCATCTTATCAGTTATGGTTTCACCACAACCCTTCATGAGATGGACGAGTTATAGACCTTTAACACATATTCTGTAACTTTTTCTTCTTCTCCCATCGACAATAATTTATATTATCGATGCAAGGCCCATAGCTTGACAACCTTGACTTTCTCACCTCCTTCATAGTACTTGACCAGGATATCTCATACCTCCTTCGTCGTTTCAGCATGAGAGATTTTGTCGAAGTTAACAGCATCGACCACCGCCTAAATGCAATAAGCAACCTTGCAATCTTTCTTTTTGACTTTGTTATGGGCAGTTTTTTGTGCTTCGGTTGCATCTGTAGCCAAAGTATGAACGCCATCGGGAACCACTTCTAGAGTATCATGGAAGCCAAACAAGGATTGCATCTGTTTTTTCCATCGGGTCTAATTTTTACCGTCAAGTATTGGAAGAAAATTCAGAATGCTCTTATCACCAGCCATCTTTGCAGCAGTTGATTCACTTTCCCTGGAAACACGATCTCTGATGTGAGATTGTTGAAAACACGATCAATAACAATAACCAAAAGCTCTGGATACCAAATTTTTAGTGCCTGAGGCAAAACTCTGGATACCAATTTGTTAGTACACAAGGCACTTTTAGTGAGGAGAGAAAGAGAGAATAATAAGGAAATAAGGATTGTATTATTCACTTGAATTATTTTGTACAAATAATGATATAAATTATGACTATTTATATACAATCTTAATTGCGCTTGAGCTTTCTACCTTGAATTATATTTGATATTATATCTAATATCTCAACATGTCTAATTTAGATTATATTTGATATTATATCTAATATTTCAACATATCTAACTTGGATTATATTTGCTATTATATATAATATCTCAACAGAAATCATGTCATTGATTTGTATAGATTAAGAATAACTTGTAATTTGTTTGAAAAAATAGAGCATGAAATAAATTAATGAAATATACTATTTTAAAAAATAATAGCATAAAATACACTGAAAAACGCGATGATGGAGAATCACTGAGGAATCTAATATTTGAAAAAAACATTAACCCTATCAATCAGATCAAACCAAATCGATTAGTTTGATTTAGTTCTATTTTTGAAAAGTCAATAGATTTAACGTACATGACAACTTATAAAGTAGCGTATGTACTAACTTCATCTCATTATTTCTACACGTTGAAGTCTACCATAACACTCCCATACTGCTTAGGTTTTTACCATATTAACCATGTACAATATTATAACAATTCACATTTTTTGTAAAGTTTTTTAATTTTTCGAAAATTTCGTAAACACTATCGGATATTTGTTACTGATGACAAGTAAGTTTATTTTTTTTACCGCAATTTTATGATTTTTCTGGATTCTCCATCATTTTTTACCGCGTGTTTGGAAATATTCGATAAAAATTCATACGTTCAACCAATTTTTTTTGAAAAAATAGGTAAAAATGCACATCTTTTTTTTTTTTTGAAAAATACGGTAAAAATGCATAAGTGTTTTTCAGATTTTTCAAAAAATACGATAAAAATGCATACGCTCAACCGGATTTTTCAAAAAAATCCAGAAAAGGTATGCATTTTTTCCAAACATGCGAAAATGTGTGCAATTTTTGGATTTTTTTGAAAAATTCGATAGGTTAATAAAATTTGTTTTATTTTTGCAGTGAAAACCAGAGATACATATGATATAATTGTTGGTCGACAACGTGATAGAGCTATTGTGAGGGTGAGAGAGAGAGAGAGAGAGAGAGAGAGAGAGAGAGAGAGAGAGAGAGAGAGAGAGAGAGAGGAGAGAGAGAGAGAGAGAGAGA